GCGGTGAGCCGAGATCGCGCCATTGCACTCCAGCCTGGGTAACGAGTGAAACTCTGTCTCAAAAAAAAAAAAAAACCATATTCAGAAGTAAAATATATGACAGTAGCACAAAAGGGCTAGGTGCAATGGCTCGAGTATATAACCCCAGCACTCTGGGAGGCCAAGATGGGAGGACTGCTTGAGGCCAGGAGTTCAAGACCCGCCTGGGCAACACAGCAAGACCCCAATTTAAAAATTAGTTGGGCATGGTGGTGCACCTGTAGTCTTAGCTACTCAGGAGGCTGAGGCAGGAGGTTCGCTTGAGCCCACAATTTAAAGTTGCAGTGAGCTATGATCACATCACTGCACTCTAGCCTGGGTGACAGAGTGTGAACCCTGTCTCAAAAAAATAGCACAAAAGGTAGGAGGAGAATAAATGATGTTATGCTTTTATAGAGTGTTTGCATTAAGGAGGTGGCAAGAGAACTAATTTAAGGTAGATGCCAACAAATGTGAATGCTTATTATAATACCTGGGGTAATCTTTTATAGATTCACTGAAAAATATGTAGTTAAAAGTGTACAGGTGGCTCATGCCTGTAATTAATCCCCAACACTTTGGTAGGCTGAGGCAGGTGGATCACTTGAGGCCAGGAGTTCAAGACTAGCATGACCAAAATGGCGAAACCTTATCTCTACAAAAAATACAAAAATCAGCTGGGGTGTGATGGTGTACACCTGTGGTTCCAGCTGAGACAAGAGAATTGCTTAAACCTGGGAGGTGAAGTCCACTGTGAGCCAAGATTGTGCCACTGCACTCCAGCCTTGGCAACAGAGCAAGACTCCTACTCAAAAAAAAAAAAAAAAAAAAAAAAAAAAGTATTAACAATAAAGAAAAAACTATAGAATAATGGAAAATACTTAACCCAAAGGAATACATAAAAGGAGAAATAAAGAACAAATAACAGATTATATGAATAGAAGATAAATATATTTCAATGAAGGATTTATTAAGGAAAAAAATCAAGGCCAGGCATGGTGGCTCACACTTGTAATCCCAGCACTTTGGGAGGCCAACGTGGGCACATCACCAGAGGTCAGGAGTTCGAGACCAGCCTGGCCAACATAGTGAAACCCTGTCTCTACTAAAAATACAAAAACACAAAAATTAGCTGGGCATGTTGACACACACCTGTAGTCACAGCTACTTAGGAGACCGAGGCAGGAGATTTGCTTAAACCTTGGAGGTGGAGGTTGCAGAGAGCTGAGATGGCACCATTGCTCTTCAGGCTAGGTGACAGGGCAAGACTCCATCTCAAAAAAAAAAAAGGAATCAATATAATACATTTAAATCCAATTATATTACATGTAGTGTAAGTGGACTAAATGCTCCAATATAAAAAAGATTATCAGACTGTATTTTAAAATAAAACAATTATATGCTATCTAGGAGAGAAAAATTTAGATAAAATACCAGGTAGATTAAAAATAAAAGAATAGGGCCAGGTGTGGTGGCTCACGCCTATAATCCCAGCCCTTTGGGAGGCTGAGGTGGGGGGATCTAAGGTCAGGAGTTCGAGACCAGCCTGGCCAACATAGTGAAGCCCTGTCTCTGCTAAAATACAATAAATTAGCCAGGTGTGGTAGTGCGCATCTGTAATCCCAGCTACTCAGGAGGCTGGGAAACGAGAATCACTTGAACCCAGGAGGCAGAGGTTGCAGTGAGCCAAGATCACAGCACTGAACTCCAGCTGGGAGACAGAGTGAGAATCCCTGTCAAAAATCATGATAATAAAAGGATGGAAAAAGATACACCTTGCAAACACTATCTGAAAGAAAGCTGACATTATTGCAATCAAAGTATACTTTAAAACAAGAAATACTTCTAGAGATAAAGAGGGACTTTTAAAAAACTTGCATTCTTAGAACATCTTTTATACATATGTCTTTACATAATGTATTACATGAAGCACAGTGTGGTGAGCTCATTGATTCACTGATACAGCACTGTCCTGATTCACATGTGCAACTAGCATAAAGAGGGACATTTTAAAATGATAAAGTATTAACAGAAGAGAGAGTAATTCTACATTTGTTTAAGTGTAAAAACAGCTTCAAAATATATAAAGCAGGATGTCGATCACACTAGATCGAGAATAGAAAATTCTGCATGGGGATCACACTAGAAACCAACAGAAATCAATAGGAGAAAATAACTAGAAAACCTTCAGTTGTTTGGAAATTAAGTGGCATGCTTCTAAATAACGTATGGGTCAAATAATAGCAGTGGAAATTAGAAAATATTTTTGACTAAATGGTAAGGAAAATATAAAAATCTGTGGAATACAGATAAATGTGCTTGCAGGGAATAGTTTAAAATCCTTAGAAAAGAAAAAAATAGAAAAACAATGCCTTCCATTGATTTTCAAGAAGCTAGGTAACAAGAGCATTTTGAACTCAACGTGGAAAAAGGAAATAGTAAAGAGCAGAAATCAGTGAAATATAAAACATACATATGACAGAGAAAACAAACGGAGCCAAAGCTCATTCATCGAAAAAAATTAGTAAAATGGACAAACTTTTTTTGTTTTTTTTGAGATGGAGTCTTGCTCTGTCACCCAGGCTGGAGTACAATGGCACGATCTCGGCTCACTGCAGCCTCTGCCTCCTGGGTTCAAGAGATTCTCCTGCCTCAGCCCCCCAAGTAGCTGGGACTACAGGAGTATGCCGCTATGCCTGGCTAATTTCTGTACTTTTTTAGTAGAGATGGGGGTTTCACCATGTTGGCCAGGCTGGTCTCAAAATTCTGACCTCAGGTGATCTACCTGCCTTGGCCTCCCAAAGTGCTGGAATTACAGGCAGGAGCCACCACGCCTGGCCAACGGACAAACTTTTACTGACTGATAAAAAGAAATAAAACACCAATTATTAATATCCAGAATGAAAATGAGATACTACAGATCCTACAAACATTTAAAAAATAAGATATTATGATCAACTTTATGACATTAAATTTATCAATTTCGATGAAGTGGATAAATTACATAAAAGAAGAGATTTCCAAAACTGCCATAAGAAAATGAAATCTGAATAGCTTTATACATAAGAAAGCAATTAAATCTTTAATTAAAAATCTTCCTGCGTGGTGGCTCATGCCTGTAATCCCAGCACTTTGGGAGGCGGAGGTGAGCACATTACTTGAGCTCAGGAATTTGAAACCAGCCTGGGCAACATAGTGAGACCTCACCTTTAAAAAAAATACAAAAATTGGTCAGTAGTGGTGGCGCGCACCTGTAGTCCCAGTTACTTGAGGGGCTGAGGCAGGAGAACACTGTGAAACCAGGAGGTAGAGACTCCAGTGAGTGGAGATCACATCACTGCACTCTAGCCAGGGTGACAAAGTGAGACCCTGTCTCCAAAAGGAAGTAAAACTCATTATTTGCTGATGGCGTGATTGTGTGTAGAAAATAGAAAACAACCTACAAATAAACTATTAGAATTAATTCAAGATTTGAGCATGGAGCTGGATCCCAGGAGAGTATACAAAAATCTAGTGTATTTCTATATATAAGCAACAAACAATTCGGAAATTTTAGGAATATTGTTTAAAATAACATTGAAAACCGCTTCTCGGGGCAGATAGGCACACAAAGAAAACGAATGCTTTGCAAAATCCTCGGCGCAGGTCTGCGCAAAAGGTCTCTGTGTGTCTCTATGCCCAGATGGCCATTTTGAGCCCTGAGCTGAGAGCCACTCTTTTAGTCTACTTTCTCAGCTTCTTCACCCGCCTCCATCTGATAAGCCTTTTTTCCCTGTGTGTTTCGTAGCAGAGTTGCTCTTCGAAGGACTGAGATCGGCAGTTGGTGGTCAGCAAGCAGACGTAAATTTTATGCGCGCCTGCTGTGGGCAAGAGCCAGTGGCCCTGCCTTCTCTGCCAGCGCGGGTTCCCAGGGGGTAAGGAAAGTGAGTTCCACGTCCCAGGTAGGGGAGAACTTGGTTTAGTGCCTAGGGCCGGATAACGTTGGAAGAACCCTAAGTGGAGACTGCTTGCATCCTTCGGGAAAAATCTAACTGCTGAGTACCAGGACAGTGGCAGGAACCAAGCTGTTGGGTATAGCTTGTGGAAGTGCACACTGGCTGTCGTTGATCCAGTGTTTTATTATTTATTTTTTTCATATATATGTGTGTGTATATTTTGCCCATGACACAGGCCTCAGAGATCCTGAGAACATGTGTCCGATCCAGTGTTTTAATAGCACAGACACCTTGAAGGGGACCAGCAGTACAAGGCTGATGAAATAACTTATGGCATAGTCGTACAATGGAATACTATACGGTTCTTTTTTTTTTTTTTTTTTTGAATACAGTTCTATAAAAGGAGGAAGAGGCTCTATGTACTGATATGAAAAAATCTTCACTGATCATGTACGCTGTGCGGAACAGTATGCATGTTACTCCGTCTCAAAAAAAAAAAAGTTATTGCATGGGCCTAGGTCGAACCATGACGATGGAAAGGGGCAGAAGAGGACGCATTGGACAGAGGTATGGGAGCAGGAGAGCTAGAGGGAAGTGTCAAAAATAACTTTTAGGGTTTCTACCATAGGACATGGAAGACGAACAGCACAGGACTGGAAGGAAAGAAAATGAAGACGGAAACTTGTGGAAGCAGAGATTTGGAAAAAGAGCAGTTGGGAGTGGGTTAAGGAATTTCCTTAAGTGGGAGGCGAGGTCCGGCGGGAACAGTTCAGGCAGGGCCTGAGAAGGGTGCCCAGTGACTGCAAGTTTGAATGGATAAGAGGGATTAAGAGGAGAGGCAGGAGTTTGCCCCAGGACGGGTGAAGTGCTTCGAAGGAGGCGGGAGATCGCAAAGGAATACTCTTGGCGATGGGGGCAGAATCATAGGCACTAACAGTGGTCATCAGAATAAGACCGGCAGGACTACCATGGCAGCCAGGCTTCGCCCCGGTGGCTTTGAACTGGGGGACACTGAGCGCGGGATGCGGGGACCGCCTGCCCCACCGCCGGTGCGGAACTAATTGTGACGGCAGTGAGGTTACCAGCCGGCGCTACAAAGGTGCCACACCGCAGGGGCGGCGTGGGGCGGTGTGCGCCGGCGTGACGCGGCTACGCGGGATGGGCCGGGCCAAGACCAAGGCCTAGGCGGCCGCGGCTGTGAGAGGCTGCAGCTCGGCGACCGTCCCTCAGCCCAGCCACCATGAGCACCAAGCAGGTTACTTGCAGGTCAGTGCGCGGGGGCTAGGAGCGGCAGGACACTTCGGGCCGCTCCCAGAGGCCGCGGAGTGCCGGTGCACGCCAGTCCTGCCGCCCGGGAACCTGACGCTGGAGCGGGACTCGGAAAGTTGCTCAGCTCTCTTCGCAGCGGGGCTTTGCGAGGCAAAGTGAGCGCTGCGGCCGGAGCCGGAGATCCGAGGGGGTGCGTGGCCGTGGCTCGTGGCCGAGACGCGAGGCGAGGCCAGCCCGGGGGGCTACGCTGCGAGTTTAAGCGTGTCCCCTGTGGGCTGGGAGGAAGGACCTCCTAGCCAGGGCCGTGCCGGATGCTGGGACGCTGTGGGGAGGACTCGGGGGCTTACGGTTTAACTGGAAAAGATTTGGAGTTGAGTAAAGGGACACCAAGAGGCCGGTTACAAATGGGGATACCACGTAGGAGTAATTTGTTAATCGATTATAAGGGCCTCAAAGTTTGGATAATCCAGATAAAATCTAAATTTGCAGAGAGTTAACAAGTAAGAATCGTGTGGAAAATAATAACGACAGGTAGCATTTCCTGAATATCGGTTAAGCGCCCTGTATGTTTCCAAGTCCTTTATGTTCATTATCACCAGACTTCACAGTAAGACAACTTAGTAGTTATTACCATTTTATAGTGCAGGAAACTGAGACTGAAAGAGGTTGACACTCTTATCTTACTGAGAGAGCCATTTACGAGGAGAAATACCACGGTAATGGATGGTTTCTTGTAGAAAATAGAAAACCAGATAGCTACGCAGCGACTGCTACTGTGAAATAGAATAGTGTGGTTGTGTAACCTCATTCCTTGGTGAACTTGTGGCTTACTGGTAATGGAATCTAGTCCTATTGAATTGTATGTTTGGAAAATGCAAATTGAATTGTATGCTTGGAAAATGTGAATTTCATTTAGTAACGTGTAGGAAACGTTGCTAAAAAACAGTTGTAGAGTTTGATTGTATAGCAAGCTGTTTATTAGCTATGTTGTTACTTCTTTTCATTAGTATGAACAGTTGAGACTTGACTGTGTAATAAGTTTTCTGTTAGCGTTAGTGTATGTTAAACTGTTCAGTTTATCCAAGGCCCAAGTGGCTTATGTTAAGCTGTTGTCAGAAGTTTGCACCTAGTGTCTATAAAAAGACTTTTACTAGGTTATTTGTCCTAGAAGGTGTTTTGTGAAGACGGGTTGGTGTGTATTTACGTATTTTTATTTGTATAAAGTTTCTCCTGCTGGAGGAAGTGTTCCTAGGTCATTGCGCACTGTAAAGCAGCTTGTAGACACCTAGAAAAACCTCTCTATTCCTCCCCTCGCTTGTTTTATGGTTTAATTCTACCATTTATTCCCATACTTGATCTAAGACATTACAGTATCTGACTAAGAGCCCCCCCCCCAGCACATTGTAAGTCCCCAACAAACGTTAATTAGCACTTAAACAGAAGCGATCCCTTCTCAACATTCCAACCAATGGTATGGAGCAACATCCTGCGGGACACTTGTTTGGGAAACAGAATTAAAGCTTTCAGGTCAAGCTCTCTCCAGGTATTCAAGGGAAAAACCAAGATGATCCTGATTTAGGTTCTTGTGCCTTTTAGGGTATGAAATTTTAGGCAAATTTCAAGTCTTTCTGAGCATAAGATTCCTTATCTGTAAATAAGATACTACTGTAATGTATAATCCAGCAACCAGCACTATTTCACAGAAAGTTGAACTGAGCCTCAGCATTGAAGTAATTTGCCTAAGGTCTTTAGCTTCCAAGTGGCAGAGGTGTCAAAATTCATGCTCTTTTAGACTGCATTGCCTCCATATAAGTCTTGAAATGCTAAATTAAAATTTCTTTACTGCAGGACTTTTCAGAGCTTTTAATATGTTCCCATGGAGGAAACTCATACAAGAATATGTAAACGTGCAGGCTGGGCACGGTGGCTCATGCCTGTAATCCCAGCACTTTGGGAGGCCGAGGCGGGTGGATCATGAGGTCAGGAGATCGAGACCATCCTGGTCAACATGGTGAAACCCCATCTCTACAAAAAATACAAAAAATTAGCTGGGCATGGTGGCGCGTGCCTGTAATCCCAGCTACTCAGGAGGCTGAGGCAGGAGAATTGCCTGAACCCAGGAGGCGGAGGTTGCGGTGAGCCGAGATCGCGCCATTGCACTCCAGCCTGGGTAATAAGAGTGAAAATCCGTCTCAAAAAAAAAAAAAGAATATGTAAAAGTGCAAAGAAGTTTACTCACAAAGGGGTGTAAAGGAGTCAGGGCTCCCAATGACTGTCTTGCCAAATAAAAAACAGAACAGGTATTTAAGTGGGAACAAAACAATATTACCAAGTTTACATTAGTGTATTTATCTATTGTAAACTTTTCTACCAGCTTATCGACCAAAAGCTTTTCTCACTTTATTATCTCATTAACAAAAGCCTTATCTCTAGACATTGATAATTTATGGGAAATGTTCAAGATTTGATTTATTTTGGGGACCAAATCTAAGCAGGGCGCTTAGCTTTTTTTTTTTTTTAATCTCATGTCACAAAGTTTTAGGTTTGTTTTCCTTACTGTGGGATGTAGTGTACATATATTTTTGAATGACAGCACAATAATGTCGGTTTTGCTTCCAATCTGTTAGGTATTATGTCTCTCCAAGAATGCATATCAAATGCTAGGAGTCTCAACCCTAATGACAAAGACAATTCATGTTTTTATTGCCTGGAACTGGAATGCTAAAAATGGCTGCTTGTATAGTTATCCTGTCAAGTCAGCAATCCTGATTCCTTGACGTGCCACTTTATCCAGAATCTCAATCTGTGCATCATTTTTGCAGATTCCTTTCCCCCACAACCATCTTTCTGTCTTCCATTCTGTTTTATGAGCCCTGGTGGAGGCCTTGTTGTAGCTTGGTAACCAGTTTATTTCACCTTCTCCTCATGTGGTAGAACTTCCCTGCATCTCATAATCATTATTAGAAGACACAGGATTTCATTGTCCTAAGATAATCAAACCTTGGGCTTTTGATTCTTTCAAAGTAACAAAACATGGGGGATCTTTTCAGCTGGCATGGTAGGACAAGTTTGAGCTCCAGTGTTGAGCTCTAGATTCTAATCCTGGTACCACCTGTGCCACAGCTACCTCATCTGAAATGAGGATGGTAATGCCTAACAGGCAGGGCTGGTTAAAAATTAAATCATAGCAACAAACCATTTATTTTGCATTATGATGAGCACTTACATGCATTTTCCTAGTTAAACCTCCTAGTAATTTATCATAGCAGTCTACGAAGTAAGTGCAGTTATTATAATCACATTACAGATGGGGAAACTGAGGCTTGGTGATTTAAATAACTTGTGCAAGGTCACACAGCAAGTGATCTGACTTCAGTATTTTAACCACCACAGTGTACTTCACTTCATCCCTTCCTGTAATCAATACATTTATTGCAAGCCTGCCACCGTACCTACCATTTGCATCCTTCCCCCCAATGAATCCGCTGTCACAATCAGTACAACCATAAAATTTTAGCCTGTGAAAATATGTGGGAAAATGTAAAGACAAATGACACGGAGGATGCAAATTACCCATATACTTGGAAGTGGTTTGCAAAAGTGTTTTGCTAAACAGAGAGGCACCATTGAAGGATCTGTAAGAAATCAGATTGATTGTTTTGCTCAGCACGCTGCTGCTGCTGCTGCTGCTGCTGGAGCTGCTGGTGGTTCTGTGACCAGCAGTGAACCTGATATACTTTGCAGAGTGTAATAGCCATACTTTCTGAAACAGTCTTTTGGGGTTGCCCAGGGTAACACCCCTTTGCAATGTGCCCCAGAAAGAACCTACCTGCTCTGAGTCTCCAGCTATGCACTTCACCCGCCTAGTCGTCTCTTCCCTCCTCCAGTTCATGTCTCAGTCCTCTCTCTTGCAAGCTATGAGGGGTGGTTTGTCCATCAGGAAGGGTGAGCAGTTGGAAATTCATTACAAAGCGCAAGATGAAAGAGGCTTGGATTAAGATCAGTATAACATAGATGGAGAGGAATGACTTTAAGCACATGACAGAGATGCCCCAAAGGACAGGCAGGTTGTGCTCTAGGTGGCTTTGTGCTTGTCACTGGGGAGTGGAAATGGTGACATATGCTACAAAAATAGGACTGGGCTGGCTTCACCTCTTACATAACTCTTGTTTCACGCTTGCTTTTCTCAAAGGCAGTGATGGTGGTCTAGAAGTTATTTTTGAATCTGTTTAAATCTCAGCTTAGTCACTTACAGAAGTGAAGTGGTTTTTATGAAGTCACCAGCTTATAAATGGCAAAACTAACTAGAAGCTGTGGTTGGCAGTTAAGTATTTGTATTTTAATGGAAAAGATAATTAGTGCAGTTTGGAAAGCAAGTTTTCTGGACAGGACCTATGGAAAGTGGAGGTAGAATTATAAAAGGCATCCTTATAGGAGACCACTACCTAAAAAAATCTTTCCTCTTGTCTGCCTTGTTAACAGATAGCATCTGGTAGAGGGCCTGTGGTAGTCTTCCACCCTGGTTGTTTCAGGAAATCTTTTGTTCTAATTTCTTCAAAAGAAACGATACAATATTGGCTGGTACAGTGGCTCATGCCTGTAATCCCAGCACTTGGGGAGGCCGAGGTGGGAGGATCACTTGAGCCCTGAAGTTTGAGACCAGCCTGGGCAACATAGCAAGACCCTGTCTCTACCCAAGAAATAAAAAGAAACTATACAGTATTTATTAGATACCACTTTTGTGTAACAGCTTATGTTGCCACTTTGAACCTGCCCTCTTTAAGTATTTATGAGTTTACTAATCCTGATACTTCTTTGTCATTCAGACTTGACTCTTGGCACTGATTTTTTTTTTTTTTTGAGATGGAGTTTTGCTCTTGTTACCCAGGCTGGAGTGCAATGGCTTGATCTCGGCTCACCGCAACCTCCGCCTCCTGGGTTCAAGCAATTCTCCTGCCTCAGCCTCCCGAGTAGCTGGGACTACAGGCGTGTGCCAT